CTTTTCCACTTTTCTCACCCACAGGTTCAATCCACACTGGGCATCCTCGCCACCGTTCAGGCCATATGGACGGTATACACGTCTCTCGCTAAGGATGGACACTTGCAGGGGTATGCGGAACTCTATATCTCGGATGACTCCGTCGCCACCGCGGTGCTGACCATCGCCTCCCGATCCTTTTCGAATGGAAAACTCTTTCAAGATGACGGGGTATCTTCGCTCAAAGATCTCCGAGTCTGTGATTCTCGTGTTGGTCATATGGACGTGCACTCCGCTCGTGCCAACCCAGTCGGGTCCGGCGCCACTTCCACCTGCAATAGTCTCATAGTAGCCAAAGCCCTTGACGGCTTGCTTGCCCGATTGGTTCCCTCCAAAGCCGAATGTGAGGTTGTTGCAGCATCCCTGGCTGGCGGCACAGGCCTGGAAGGCCTTGAACACGACGTCGGTAATTCGCTGACTGGTGAGCACGTTTCCACCAACAACGGCCGCGTTGCCAGATGGCGAAAGGAGAGATTTAGGAGGAATCTTGACGTGGATTGGCTTCAGACATCCTTGGTTCAAGGGGATATCTTCAGAGATGAGGCAGCGTAGGCAGTAGATGATGGCACTGAAAGTGATTGCCTGAGGAGCATTGATGTTACCGTACACTTCAGGTCCAGTTCCTTCAAAGTCAAACTCGGCCTCGCCTGCTTCAGGATCAATGGTGACTTTAAGTCGAATGGGGGTTCCGTCGTCCATGTAGTCTACAGCAGATAACTCCTTGCCCTCGAACCGCTTGTAGACGTCCTTGAGCAGTCGTCGTACGCACATCTCGGCATTCTTCTGGATGTTTACCATGTAAAACTGAACAGTGTCCTCACCGTATTCATCAATCAGAGTTTCAATAAGAGAAATGCCCTTGTTGTTGGCAGATACCTGCGCTTTCAGGTCATTGATGTTATCTGCAAGGCTTCGTGTGCCGCTGCATCCAGGGTACTGAGCTGGCTCATTGTAGAACAGTTCGATAACCCGCTCCTCGTCGAATTTGCCACCGCTGACCAGCTTTTCGCTCTTGATGGAGGCTCCTTCTTGGAATAGCTCGCGAGAGTGCGGTGGCATGCTGCCGGCGCTGATTCCACCAATGTCGGCATGGTGAGCTCGGGATGCTGCGTAAAAGAGAATGTTCTCGCCCTTGGGGTCGAAAGCGGGCATCACCAACGTCACGTCGGGTAGATGGGTGCCACCGTACGAAGGGTGGTTGGAGATGATGACGTCTCCTTTTTGTAGCCTTCCTTTCCAGATCTCTGCTTGTCGACGGACCAAGTGGCTCATACTTCCTAGATGCACGGGCAAGTGTGGTGCGTTGGCTACCAGGTTGCCAGAGGCATCAAATATGGCACAGGAGAAATCGAGTCTTTCCTTGACGTTTGTGCTGACGCTCGTCTTTTGCAAAGCTCGGCCCATCTGTTCCGCAATAGCCATGAATCTATGCCCGAAGATGCTGAGCATGATGGGGTCGACCTCGCGATCTCCTCCGGTGTTGTGGGATCTATTTATAATTAGTTCACTTCTGACATTTTAGTGAGATCTTGTAACGTACTCATTTTTGGCGCCTTCCTTTGAAATGTCCAATACAACATGTGTTCCCGTAATGAGAGCCTTGGTGCGTGGAGTCACGACAATGGTTTGAGTTCCGTCTGCCAGCATAGCTGGTCCATTGACCACATCGCCCTCATTCAAGTCCTTGAGCTTGTAGACAGGAGTCTTGACTCTGCCGCCTTCAAAGTAGACCTCCTGCTCGCTGTGCTGCTTCTTCGCGGGAGCATCCTGTCTTTTGATCGATTTTAGCTGCTGATCAATGGTCTTTTCTTGGTGGCGGAAGCTTTTTCCAATTCCACGCACTCTAACGTCGTCTACAATGATGTCACGATCATCCAGCGTGAAACCAAACTCGTAGCGATGATGCTTGACAAAGGCCTTGCCAAACTCCCAGTCTTTGCCATCAAAACTCGCCTTTGCTTCCTCTTCGCTAGGCTTGATAATCATGAGAGCGGACTCAGTGCCGCGGTATCTGCAGTTGAGATACTCCTCAAACACAATCTCGTTCTCATCGAAACCTTGGTCTTTCAGAGCGGCTCGTGACTTGTCCTTTAGTTTCTCCATCTTGGCTTTTAGCTCGGTGACCACTTTGCCGTTGTCTTCCCAGACTGAAGAATCGGGTTCTTGTCGCTCATCCACAACATCTGCGAGTGCCATGCCGTAGGCAGAGAGGACAGACGAATACCGGTGGACGAGGATCTGGCTAATGCCGAGAGACTCTGCGATAGCGACAGCATGTTGACCACCAGCACCGCCAAAGGTTGCCAGACGGTGTTTAGAGGTATCATGGCCCTTTGCTTCGGTGATGGACCGGATGGGTCGTGTCATGGTCTCGTTTGCAACTGTTAAGAATCCAAAAGCGACCTCATCTACGGACAAGTTCTTTCCAGTCTCTTGGTTGACTTGGTCCGTCAGCTCCTGTAACACTTTTTTGCTCGCCTCCAGATCCAGTCCCTCATCTTCATTTTTACCAAAGATTTTGGGGAAGAATTCCGGCAGAAGACGGCCCAAGTACAGGTTGGCATCCGTGACAGTCGCAGGACCACCTTTTCTGTAGCAGGCAGGGCCGGGATGCGCACCAGCGGACTCAGGTCCTACAACGAATAGTCCGTTGCGGAAAAAGAGACGAGAGCCACCGCCAGCGGCGACAGTGTTGATGTCCAGCTGAGGAGATTGAATCGTGACGCCGGCGGTGGTTGTTTCAAAGACGTGCTCGTATCGGCCCTCTCCGTAACGAGAAACGTCTGTACTAGTGCCTCCCTATTTCATTGTTAGATTTAACCATAACTTGAAGTTCGATGTCAGAGAGAGATTTTACCATGTCAAATCCAATAACAGGAACCCTCGTCTCTTCATCATAAGATGTCATAGCATAGCCTACTACGCCTCCTGCTGGACCAGACAAAATGGCCTTGAGGCCCGTAAACTTGTCGACATCAACGAGGCCACCATCACTCTGCATAAACTCACAGCGAGCGCCCTTTGGACCCTTTTCGTGCTTGACGCTCTCCGTGCCTAGGCCTCCTTCAAATCCAGCCTGGAAGCCATCTATGTACTTCCTAATGGCGGGAGTCAGATACGCATCTGCGCAGACTGAAGTTGCTCGCGGTACAAGCTTCACCATGGGCATCAGCTCGTGGCTGAGTGAAATGTGTTGGAAGCCAATCTCCTTTGCAATCTTGCCTATCAGAGCTTCGTGCTCGGGGAACGTATATCCGTGCATAAGGCACACGGCTATGCTGAGAATTCCAGAGTCATACACCTTTTGTAGCTTCTCTCTGATATCGTCGTGTTCGGGGCGTCTCAATATCCTGACAGTCTCGCCGGAGAGGCCCCTGACGAGGTCTTTGCCCTCGGCCTCCTTGGTGCCCGCCTGAGCATCTGTCGCTGTGATTTTCCTCTCCGGGTCTTCAGCATAATCCTCCAGCGTGACTCGCTCATCAATTTCCACAACCTGCTCATACAAAACATCCGGCTTCCTGATGGCCAGGTCAAAGATCTTGGGCCTGGACTGGTTGCCAATCGTCAAGCAGTCCTTAAACCCCTTTGTGACGATCATGGCAATCTTCTCGCCCTTTCTTTCCAGCAACGCATTCGTCGCCACGGTGGTGCCCATACGGATGGAATCAATCTTGGATGTGTCCAAGGGCTCGCCGCGGGGGATGTCCCGCTTGAGGAAATGGCTCATGATGCGCCGGATGCCCTCGAGCGGCGCATCTTTGTAGTTTGCCGGGTCTTCGGAGAGGAGCTTGATGATGATTTCCTCGCTATTGTGCTCGCCAACGCAGTCGGTGAAGGTGCCGCCTCGGTCGATTGCTATGCGAATGCCGCGCTCCTTGGATGAATTTGCCATCGTGGTGATGGTGAGATGACAAAACGTAAAAGATAATATGGAGATGGAGGGGTATCACAAAAATGAGGGTTGAGAAACAGACGATGATCTTGATAAGAGAAAAAAGCACTTTAACGGTTTGATGATACAATATATATTACATACATCGACTCAGCTGCTTAGTGAGCAATTATCTCATAGACAGCGAAGTCGGATTAATGTGTAACTACGTGAGGCGATGATTGCCGAGAAAGGCGTATGAGCGTCTACTTTGGATGGCGGGGTGTGGAGAGCTCCAGTCTTAGTCCTCGCAATGGCGGGGTTCCGTCTCCGTAGGAACAACATGATCATCCAACTTCCTTCAGGATGATTATACACTTTGATTGGTGTTTCCATCTCCATATTGTTTGTCACTCAGCTATATGAGGGAGACATCATAAAATATCAACCAACAGCACTTACACGTTGGCTCTTCCGTTCCATTGACAGCAGCCCTTCAGAACCCACTAACAACTAACAGATAAAATTACTCCACAGCGCGGGAACTGCTAAAATCGAATCGGGCAGAGATACGTAATTGTGTCTTCTCTTGTGGAGCTCATAGTGCAGAATTTGCCTCCTCCACACATCCAATTATCAAGGCACTTTGGCCGAGTGGTCTAAGGCGCCGTGTTCAGGATTTATCTTGCTTCGCGGTCTAGTAATAGGCGAGGGTTCGAATCCCTCAGGTGTCAATTTTTTGATCTCGTTCGCTCTATGTTGTGATTATCGCGACAATATGAGAGTTTCCTTTTTTGCCCTCACTGCCTATTTGGGATGCTCTACAAAGTACATACGTACATGTACTCTACCTTAGTATCTGTCACTACATCTTTCAAGTCTGGTCACGCCATCCGATGTACGAAGTATATGAAGTATTAGTATTCTATGTAGATCATTGTGAGCCAAATTGTTAACTATTATAAGCTTTACGCCCCCCTCATTTGCGCCGTGCAGTAATGGGCCTATGAGTCCTCCGCTGATAACTGCTCTAATAATTAATGTCTATATGTGCAGGTTTGTTGCACGGTAGTGAAAAATAATGAAAAGATCACCTCCTTCGCTTTCTTGGACACTGGTCGGGACATTTACCGGCCGGCCGCTTCTGAGAACTCGACCCTCTGTTCCGACCAGTGACATCCTCGTTTCTATACTCCCAGCATTCATCATACTCCATATCACTATCCTGGCTTTCCGATAATATATGGTCACCCTCTTCAAGATGATAAGCCCAAGCATTGCTACCCTCTCGCACATGATACTTCTCCAGATCGTTTTTGAGAGCAGTAGCCATCGAAAGGGCAAAATCTTGGCAGTTCCGAAGCATGCTAACGCCCCGAATAAACTCAGGATAAGATCTCATCAGGTTCACCGATGCAATAGGGTATTGGTGATATTCCACCTTGCCCTCAACCGAGGTGGACGCATAGTGCGCAAAGAAGTTGATGTACGTGCCGTTCGTGGTAAATGTTATGATTCCAGCAAAGTCTTTTATGACTTCTACCCCCATGTGGGCTAAAGCCAGATTCCTCATGTAGACGAGTGCCGCTCCATGGCGCGCGCTGACTGCCTCTAGATCGTTGACATCTCCGGCCGTAAAATCGCCGGCGAGGTGTGGGTGAACAAGAGAAGCATGATCGTGAGAGACGCATACGGCCGCCGATATATACTCAATTTTCACACACGGGTAAGCTTCCACGCTAAAGCCTTGAGCGAATCCGGGACAAGGTTTCTCGATTCCTCGAGAAATATCCGCGTATTCGGGGAACTCATCGAAGCGTTGGTAGAATGATCTGATGTACTCGGGCTGCTTTGGAAAATCTCGGAACAATGCCATCATTTCGCACATGATGGCATGTTTTGTTGTGCACCTGTAAGAATGCATCGTGTAAGACTGCCACTTGTTGGTAGGCCAGTCGGGCACATGGCGTGCAGACCTGAGTTTCACTCGTAGCCATTCCAAGTTCTTCGGTGGCCTGGACAAATCCAGTGTGAGAACGCCGTTGCGCAGTTGTACAGCCGGATAATCATTTGAGGGGACGAGGTGGTTATCGAAGATCTTGGGAGCAACACTCATGGAGCGGTTTATATCTTTCAGAATGTCGTTTTCTGCTTGTTGTAGGTGGTCGTTCGCTACTGGGACAAGGATCGTGTCATTTTGCTGATGATTCCGATTATCTCTCCTGATTTGCTGAAAAAGAGTATACCAAGGCGCGAACCTCTCTGGTCCATCCTGACTTTCAATTTCCATTGGCGTGGCGGCGTTCTGGTTTATTCTTCGGGAGCGCCGTAGTAGAACCTGCTGCTCATCTGGAAAATTCGCCACGGTTGTGTTTCGCTGCCTTTCTTTGGGTGGCATGTCTAGCTTTGGATAGAATCTCGTGATTAAGAATAGCCACCTATAGGCATCTGTCTTTTATGTATGTAATATTTGGGGCTATTGGAGAGTGACTATGGTGAGATGAACTATGACGAACTATACAGATCAATCGCGGCATTAGAAAAAATTATATACTGGATGTTGAGCAGATTCACATGTTTCTGTTATGTTATATCGTATTCTTCATCATGTAGTGAATCGCTAGCCATTGTTCAATGCTGGTTGAGGCTGCATTGTTCGGCGACAACAACGGATCATGTCTATACAATTCTGTTGTGAGTTGAAAGGTTCTCTCTTATCTAATTGAATGCTCTAAAGCCGATACATTCTTTGCGCTACCATAATGGTGAACATATTGAGACAACAAAGGCGGCCGCAGGCAGCACAGACAAAGACACAAAGAGCCGTCATGAAACCCAGTAGAGTGACTTGACCTTTTTGAAGACTGTTACTTTATGGTTCTGTCCAAAGTTACTTGATCTCTATAATTAATTCATTTTATTTATAAAGGATTCGATGTATCTTTACTAATGTGTTTCACTGCATGTGTTCATATTGCCAGCCAGTCTTTTTTCTTTTATTTCCTTTGTAAATCGCCGACCTATGTTTCGTATTTCAAGAACAGCTTTGTCGTCTCATGACTGAAACAATATCCATTCTAGGTCAGACTTTCCGTTGGTCAACATTCAGACAGGTTTCAGACTTGCATTTGCACTCAAGTGAATGTGATTGTCATGTTGCAATGACATGCATGTGGCCGGCGTGGTGATAAATCTCGGCCCTCTCACAACGTCACACAACACGCAGCATGATACTAGATGAATTGAAAATAAATAAATACCGGAGTAAGCATTGAATCCCCGCAGTATGCGATTCACTCTCCGAAAATCCGATTACTATACAAACACACGCGGCTGAGCGATTACTATTTGCAAACGGGCTACCCCGTTTAAGTTGTCACTTCCTTGGTCATAGCTTACGAGACTGTGACTCTTGCTTTAATACAGGGCCTTCACAGCTATTGCTTTCACAGCTGCGAAATCTGTTATGTATGCCGGGCTCTATTGACTCTCGTGGAACTAACCGAAGCGTGTCAGTTCGCTTCTGCTATAACTTACTCTTTGAATGCAAGAAATCGTTCACGAACCAAGAAAAGTGACATGGTAAAAACGTCGGCTATAATCAGTCCAGCCATGCAAGCATGAATGTGAAGTATGCCTTGCCTCATAACATAGGCGCCCGTTAGTCGGCGGTTGGGCATTAACTGCTGCCTACGCACATATATGCACGTGCATGAAAGCTGGATCATCCGTAGCATATCCTTCGTCACTTCGTTGTCGAGATTTATTTCTAGCATACAAGACATCACTTCGCCTTCTACACTCATAGATATACATGGTCTCTTCTCCTCCACGCCACATATTTCTGCATCGCAATCTGCTCAAACGCAGTTTATACCCGAGATGGCCGCTTCTTCAGTACGCACCGACGATGACACATGGGCTCTTGCGTTCAAACTGGCCCAGGAGAGGGAGAGCAATTTAATGCTTGCCTATGAGGAGTATCTATTTTCTCTGCAAGGTGATAACACAACCAGTGGAGACATGTCGATCCCCGAAATCATCCAGTCAATTGTAAAAAGGACGATAGAAGATGAAGAAAAGAAGAGTTGGCGCGTCTCGCTCTTTGGTGCAGATTATGAGGTCAGAATACAAGTTGAGAGGCTGACAAAATTCCTCCTCTGGTCCGAGTCAATCGTCAAGGTTGCTATGAGCAGCCAGCTATACGCAGCGTTAGCATGGTCAGGCGTCTCATTGCTTCTTCCAGTATGTTCATTGGATTCCCATCTCCAATGCTCTTGCTTACCATAGAAGCTCATCACACGCAACATGAAGCAAAAAGTGGCAATGTTAAAGGGTTTTAATTTGATTGGCGATATACAAATGTACTGGCGAATCTGTGAAGAGACATACCTTCTATCCCTAAACAGATCGTCCTACGAACAGCAGCTGGCCAAATTGTATTCCGTCATAATTGAATATCAGGCTCGAGTATTATGCCATCTTTCTAGACACCAGCTCTCTCGAGAATGGAACGACATCATTAGCCCTGACGAATGGGACAAGAAGATACAAGAAATTCAGCAACTAGATGAAGAATGCCGTAATACCTTACATGTTTCCAACGCAGATCAAATTGAGAGAGATTGGAAGGAACAGCTAATTGAAATGCAAGAGTCGCGGATATCCCTGGGTAAAATTCACAATACTCTCCTGGAAAGCGGAGCTGAAGACCAGAAGAACTACGGAGATCAGAAAGAGAGAGCCCTCCTCCAAGCTCTCGCGTCCGATTATGAAGGCCACAAAGACTTGATCTCACGGAAGGTGGAAGGAACTTTTGAGTGGTTCTTCGTTGATGAGAGATTTCGCAACTGGCGAAATAGCAACGTCTCTAGTCTTCTCTTGGTCTCTGCCGGCCCAGGATGTGGGAAATCTGTCTTGTCGCGATCGCTGATCGATGAGCGACGATTGTCAACCAACGCCACATCATCAATCGTCTGTTATTTCTTTTTCAAGGATGGTGACGATAGCCGAATGTACCCTCACAATGCGCTTTGTGCAATACTTCACCAGCTCTTCATTCATGACCCTACCGGTAGCTTGATTGCACAAGCACTCTCTAGGTATAAGAATTTTGGCGAGGCATTGACTCACAAATTTTCTGAGCTATGGAAGATTCTATTGAGATGCGCCAGTTTATTGAATTCCGGAGAAATCATCTGTGTTCTCGATGGCCTCGACGAATGCCATGTGGACAGCAGATGGATAATTATCGAAGAGCTCAAGGAATTTTATCGGCATCCCCCGGGGTCATCCTCGAAGCTCAAATTTCTTATAACCAGCCGTCCACTAGGAGCTATTGACATGCATTTCGAAAAGTTATCTGGCGCTACTTCGTATCTACGATTCGATGGTGACGACAAGTCTACAAAGATCAATCACGATGTCGATTCGATCATCAACTTTAGAGTGAACGAAATTGCACAGAATTTTACAGAAAACGACCGCCGCCTAATTGCTGACCGACTCGAAAGCATGGAACATCGCACATATCTCTGGCTATACCTTACACTTGACATTATCAAGAGAATTACGAGCCAATATGGCAAGGGCATTGATGCGGACGCTGTTCTCTCTAGCCTACCCTCCTCGTTATCTGAAGCCTACGAAAATATTCTAGCCAGAAGTAAAAGGCATGATTACACCGAAGCTCTGCTACACATCCTCTTAGCAGCAACGCGTCCTCTGACTTTGGTCGAGGCCAACTTCGCCTTGACGCTGACTACAGCTGAACCAGAACGCCGATTTAAATCCCACGCCACCTTACAAGATGAACTCTGGTCCTTAGATAATGTTATGGATGACTTAAAAAACTTATGTGGACTCTTTATTACGGTCGATGATGGAAAGCTATATTTTATTCACCAGACAGCTAGAGAGTTTCTTGTTCATCCACAAAGGCAGGGAGAATGGCAGGGACGCTTTTACGACATGTCGAAGTCGCACAGCATAATGTCTTCGGTATGCATTAGATATTTGCTCTTGCCAGATCTCACAAGGATTTCTGGCATGAGAGCTCGTATTCGGCGTCATCCTTTGCTTTCATACGCTGCCAGATCTTGGCCATTGCATTATCGCTCGCAGGGAGCTGTCGAAGCCATCTCATCCCGGAAGGATGCGCTGGCGCTCTGTTGCGCAGCCGACGTGTGGATATCAATTATTTATTTATCTTCGCGGACTGATGAGTGGAAGAATTGGATGAGTCTTGAGCTTGCTAGCAAATTCGGTCTCGACGAAGTAGTCTCAGAGCTCCTGCTGAGGCATACATATTCAGCCAAGAGTCTCAGCGCGCCGCTTTATCATGCATCAGCAAATGGGTATAAAGAGATTGTTCAGATGATGCTGGATGCTGGCGCTGATATTGATACACAAGGATCATTTGGCACGCCGCTTCAAGTAGCAGCATATCACGGACATGGAGAGATTGTCCAGATGTTGCTGGACAATGGCGCCAGTATGAGTTCGCACGCACATAGGACCAACACAACGCTTTGCGGAGCATCAGGTCGGGGACATGGAGAGATTGTCAAGATGCTGCTGGACAGCGGTGCTGATGTTAATATGCGAGGAAAAGTTGGCGGCAGGCCGCTTCGAGTGGCATCAGAAAACGGCCATAGAGAGATTGTCCAGATACTGCTGGACAACGGCGCGGATGTTGACATGCAGGGAGAGTGATTGTATGGCGGCACAGCACTTCAAGCAGCGGCAAATTGTGGCCACGAAGAGATTGTCCAGATACTTCTGAATTATGGTGCTGATGTTAATGTGCGCGGAGGGCTCTGGGGTACGCCGCTTCAAGCAGCATCGAAAAATAATCATACAGAAGTTGTTCGAATGCTGCGTGAAAGAGGAGCAGTAATGAATACCTAGTTCTTTAAGTATTTGCTACTATAGCTATATTTTCTCTAATATTTCCTACTATATCTACATTTCCCTACTGCCTACTACTATATCTATATCTCTAGTAACTGCTACTATAGTTATATATGTAGTTTTAGTATTTACTACTATCATTATACTTATCTACTTTCTTCTTCAGCATTAGAAAATGCGCATCGATAAAAATGTGGTATGCGCTGGAAGAAAATCTCAGCCTTAATCCAGCACCAGTTCCAGTTACCCATCGGGTAGTCCTCTAGTTGAGTTTGGAGTTAGTATAAATATACCCAGAGTGGATCTTCACGCAGTGATTCGTCTTCTGCCTGAGCTCTCAAAGTCTCAAGGAACTCATCCAACGGATCATCGCCAGCAATTGAGATCATTGCCCGCAGATTTGAGATTGAGTACGCTTTTTATGCTAGACCAGGTACGTCTTATGAACCGACTTGTGAATATCTACTGAATTTTAACCTACTGGTATGGCAGACGATAATGCCACAGATACATGTACCAATTCGCTGATCTGGCGTACCTTTACACGCCCGGCTAGGTATTACGACACGGGATGCTATATACCTAGGTAGTGAAATTCGGGTGCTGGCTGAAGGCCCCCTACAAAAGCACCACTTGATGAGCTGATTGAGTGTTCATATTGTTGAATGTATGTACTTATTCATTTTGCAGTTTCACTTTTCCTGACCTCCGCTTGCCTGGATAGGTCCATGCAATACACGTGTCTCCTTCAAATCTCAAGATACTAATATTCAATAGCAATATCTTGTTCCAGTGGTGATGTGTAGTTGTATTCTATATATAGAAACGAGATCAACCGGTTGCAGGAGTCTAAAATTAGCAATTCAATATATTTAAAGTTGATGAATAACATGACTCGCGTGAGAAACATAGTCAAGCATAGTCATCTTCACAGGGTTCAAACTCTTGATGCAGACTCTCGGCGTCGAATATACTAACTAGGAGAGACTCCCGGAGTCGCCACTGCATCTCCTAGACAACTGAAAAGGAACAATGACCGAGTCGAAGTAATCATCTCCGAGTCATCTCCTTAAACTAACCAAGTCAGCCAGCCACAACGGCTCCTTCGCCCTATACAAGTAATCTACGCCGCCAACACATGCATGTCACACAAGCAGATTCCCGTCTGAAACCAGCAACGCTTATCACGATATATCACAGGGGGTTTTGCATCCCTTACTTGTGCATCTGCTTGTATGAGCGCCGGCTTAGGCTAATGTATCCATGCGTGGCAGGGACTTTATCCGGGTTGAGGGAGCGAGAGCGGGAGACGCGCGGCTAAATCTGTCGATTCTTTTACATGTATTTGGATAATAATAGACAGATGTATTCGGTACGGCCGAGGTATGCTTCGCGATGTGTATCATTGACGCCTCCTGGCATGTCACTGAGAGTCAGCATTCAGAACAACGCAACAACGCAACGGCATCACATCCATTTTTCGACGTATTTTTCAATTCTCCTCACAAATGTACGGATAATAAATCCCTGCTGCCAGTAATGACTTAGGATCCCCTTGCATACGGCCTAGCTAGACACGGCATTTGCGAGACTGGACGGCAAAGTGAAACCGAGTCGGTCCATATACTCCGTAGTCTGCACAAGCGCGGACTCGATATTCCACGATGGCTTCAAAACGTCCAATCACATCCGCCGGGGAGTTATTTGTCTAAGTAAAAAGGCGATTACTTAATCGCAATTCGGCTCCTCGACTCCGCGACATCCAATGTCCAGTATACAGGTAAATTGCTCTCTCCACCTACCCCATAAGGCCCGTCCCGTCCGATATCCACAAGCCCCGAGAAAATCTCCATTTTTTCAACAACACCTCTCAGAAGCTACGGCTTGTACGCACGAAGTAGCTGTCACATGGATTCTCTCTCGGCTTCAAGAGATGACTTGTCACTGCATCTGATTACATATGATGTTACATAGAACAACACTACCGCTGGTGGGCGGCCGGTGGGTTGTCCGTGGGCAAAGTTACAGCTTGTTTCGTCTCTCTTTGGCAACGAGCGTGAGTCCCCGGGTACGCGTACTCCTAACCGACCAACATTGAATGAAAACAAGGAAAATGTAAATATAGATGCCTAGTTTTACGTAGCATTGCCCTATGCAATGCGGCGTGATGCATGACTCCTAGTGCTCATACCGTTCATCAGCCAGTAATCGCCAGTGGCGATGGCATCAAAGAGCCGTTCGAGACCAGCCATCCCGGTCCACGGCAGAGCAAGAGTACATAGCCGGCACAGGCCATCTCAGGGCCCGGGAAATATCCATGAATCCAAATGCCCGGAAACTAAGCCCCAATGAAGCTGATCCTCGCATACCTTGCCCGGCTGCCTCGCATCTCCGGGGAGGGATTGTCCAGCCCTCTTGTCTTAGCTTTTCGTACATTAGGCCTCATCGAGACACACGCCACCTGGACTGGCCAAGGGCTGAAATAAACGCAAGGCAATCCCTTGCTGACGTCTTGAGGCATAAAAACTCTCTTCCCCCTACTCGTACTTAACGCCGATGACCATGTCACTGGTAACGTTCACCCACAGACGGGGCCGTTTTTGTTTCTGGAGGGATCGTCTCAAGCTAGGAAGCGAGGAGAGAAAGAAGATGCCAAAGACATGCATGTGCCACTTACTACTAGTAAACTCCGCAGTAAATTAATACAAGGGTTACGAAGACAAAGAAGGACTTTGCGGGGTTTAATTTATCGCCTCGTCAAACCCGCTTAGACTAACCAGAAACTCCCCCTTACCGCGTACGTGCCGCGTGTATGTAAGCTGGCGAGACAACCAAAAGACATGGAAACTGGGCTTAACGCCGACGAGACATAAACTACAGCCTCAGCTACACGGCAGAGCCGCCATCCCATTGGTGCCAGACCGGCATAGCAGAGGTCTGAGCTCAACCGCGAAACGCGCTTGCGGCTGTCGTCTACACTACCGTATAGCTGAACGGCGGTTCCTTGCCTAGTCAAATCTCGTCTGTCATACTCGTACGACTTTGGAGAGCACCCTAATGAATCATTGTATCCATAGCTGCGCTAAACTGCGATTTGCCTTCTATTCGTGGTTGGGGTTTGTTACGTGTAAGAAAAGAGACAGACGGAATCCCAGAGAACGGAACACTGAGAGAAATAACTCAGTTGATCCTTGAAATGACGACAAAGGCGTATTCCGTCAGTGTACTAAAATCCCTTAGTAGGCCTCGTGATGTCTACCGTTACGAGTAAAAGATGCGCGGCAAAAGAGCCCTTTCTCTCTCAGTGATACCTCCTTGAATAGGTACGCCGTTGATCAGGAACTCGCCTCTACGGAACTCGCTGTCACATTTCTCTTCTTCCTGTCTTTATCTCGTTCGGCATTAGCGAAGGCAGCATCAGATAAAGCAGACCCTGGATACGCTAACGGACACACACAACCTTGTGGTTTTCGATGGCCCTGTTGAGTGGCATTAGTCGGGTTTGTACAGCCCAACACTGCCCTATTACCGAGCTGAACGACACTCAAGGGAAATATCAGTACTAGTAAAGTTGTAGCGAAGCCCATCATAACCTTGGCTGTTTAGTCAATCCCGAGTTCGTTCTTCATCTTGTTTCCTTTAGCGAGCCGATTTTCCCGCGGCGAGCTACCTAATCCATGGGACCGTCTGCAAGGCCAACTTCGGACCAACGACGAGTGTAACGGAAACAAGCATACAGTTCCTAGCATGTAGAGTGTACGAATCAAATCCCGGTCAGAAACGGCACAAGGCCTTCAACAAACACCAATAAAATGAATGAAGAATGAAGCGTTACAATGCCCAGCACTTGCTTCACTTCACTTACACGCACCCCCCCCCCCCCCCTCCCCCACCCCTTCTTTCAAGCCTCCTTCAATACAATCACGTATCCGAGCACCTGAAGATTTCCAAATCCAGCCCTAGAAGCCCGTCTTTACATTAGTGCAGATTTCAATCCCAGGAATCCTGTATCCTTGGGTACAGTAGTAATCTCCGTCCTATCTGTCAAAGCGGCAAGCCCCGAAACACCAAAACCTGTCCTCGGCTCCCGTCATCCTTTCAGCCCTCCACCTCAAATCAAAATAGTTCCTTAAACATCTTTGTAATGCAACTACAAGACAAATTAAAAACTCTTTTTTGCGCTGGCCCCCCTTCCCTTCTTCGCCTTTCCCTGTTTCCAGGGTTACCTTGCACTTCGCGGGTGCAACGTACATGCAGCCTGCAGTCCTCACATGAACATTCTGCAACCCACCACACAAGACGGTGGCTGAAACCAAGCCCCAACAATCATCAAAAGGCCTAGGCCCTTGAAAATCAGGAAGAGAATCACAACGTGGACGGCGAGATAATAGTAATCGCAGATGATGCAGGCTGTGATATTCTTCCCGGCCCCAAGCCACGCACGTCAAGACTAGACCAGGAATCCCTTCCTTCTCCACGAACACATGCAACCCAACTTTTGATGTTTTCGTTGTCCTGCCTGCGAATCAACAAGACACGCATCTTGCTCGTTACCTTCAAGAGCCAGACCCAATGACATTTCTACACACACGCCCATACTGCATGCTTGCGTCTTGGCCATCAACTCCCAATGTTACCTTGCTTGCGATTCCCGTTCGGCACATGGGGCTCGTACTCGGCACATGGGTTACAATGCCATTCACCCTTTCATCCTTTCATCCTTTTTCATCTCTTGCCCCCTTGCTTACATACTGTTGGCACCCAGATCCTGCCAAGCACCGCGGGAATAGAAAGAAAAGGCAA